ACTCAAAATAAATCACAGATCTAAATGTCAAACGTGAAATTTATAACTTCAGAAGAAAAGAAAGGATTTCAAAAAACCTGTGTGACCTTATATATGGCAATGAGTTTTAGATTCAATATCAAAGTACAATCCATGAAAGAAAAAAAAAATCAATAAATTCCATTTCATCAATATTTAAAAGTTATGTTCTGCTAAACACATCATTAAGAGAACAAAAAACATTCACTGCTGATGGGAATACAAAATGGTGTAGTACAGCCAACTCAGGAAGTGACTTCAGCAGTTTCCTCTAAAGTTAACACAGATTAAACATATGGCCCCAGGAATTATGTTACTAGGTTTAGCCAACTGATTTGAAAGCATATGTCCACACAAAACCTGTATGCAAATGATTATAGCAACTTTATTCAAAATCGCCAAAAATTAGAAAAAAGAAAAGAATCACCAGGAGGTGAGAGGATCCTAGGATAGTATGAAGACTATGAAAAAGAGCCTAACTATATTACATAACTTCACTTAAGGAGATAGAGGGAAAAAAGAGCCATTCTAAGTAACTTTGGAAAGTGGTACTTTGGAAACCGTAACATTAAAGACTAAAGGAACTATACATGAACAGTGTACTCTAGTAGGTAAAGTTGTTTCTCATGGGGGTATCCATTAATGATTCTGGAAAGAGTTATAAGGTATACTGGGGTAGAAGAAATAAGGAAATGATGGATGGTAGGGGATGGAAACCAGGTTTCCTACTGTTGGAGAAGAAATTACACATAAGAAAAAGGAGAAAGCCAGAATGAACTATGTGGCGTTGGATTAGAATCAGAGAAATAAGTATGAATTCAGATTTAGCTTAATAAAGATACAGATAGATACATACATAAATAATTTCATATATGTGTATGTATGTCAGTTAGTATACATACATATACTTCCTAGCTCTTTCTGTTGATTGGGCCTAAAAGTAGCCACACCAAGTAACAACGAGCACACTCAGAATGCAGATCTTGGTTTCTAGTACCGTTTTCCAATAAAAGGAATCATGGCCCTTTGAGAAATGACTGATTCTACAAGTGAGGCAGATCCCTATACATCCCTACACATCCCTACAAGACATGACCCAGGGGCATCCTGTGGTGCAGAAAAGTAAGTAAACTGTTTAAAAATCAAAAGGATGGGGACATGTCAAAGGGATATGGAGGCCAACTGAAAGAGCTTCCAATGGCCAAGCTGGAACACTTCAAGCAACACAATAAATAACACAGTATTAGATTATAACCCAAAGTATTAAATGAGTTTCAGTGAGTCTATACTAACATAAACAAACAAACAAATAAATAAATGAGGGAGAGGAGACAAATCTCCTGTACTGAAGAATTAGAAATAATTTATGTAGATATTTTCTGGAAGGCAAGTAGAGCTCAATCAACCTCTCAGCCCACACCCCTTATCCCCACTTCTGAGTATGGGCTGCACTTAAGTAACCTGCTTCAAAGAATATGAAAGGGGAATGTTGGTAAGTAACTTTACAGTGGAGAAACATGGTAAGCACTACCCTGGCTAGGTGACCAAGATTAACATTACTGGTGTTAAGTCATGTTGATAGCATAATGTTGAATAATATGATGAGAATGGCACTTCAGTCCTGGACTCGTCCCCCCAAAACCAATACCTCAGTCTAACCATGAGAAAAATTAAAAAAAAAAAAATCGAATAACATTCTATCAAATGCCTGACGAATACTCCTGAAAACTGTCAAAGTCATCAAAAACAAGAGAAGTCTGAGAAAGTATGACTAGAGTAGGCAAAGGAGACATAGCAACTAAATTAATATGGGATCCTGGATGGGATCTTGGAACATAAAAAGGACATGAGAAAAATTAGTGAAATCTAAAGAAAGTGTGGAGTTTAGTTAATAATTATATACCAATGTTGCTTTCTCCCCCATGCCATACGTGACATAATTAACGTAAGCTATTAAGAAAAACGAAAACTGGAAGGTGGTTATATGGAAATTCCCTGTACTATCCTTGCAAACTTTCTGTAAATCTAAAAGTATTCTAAAATAAGAAGTTTATTGGGGGGAAAAAGGAAGTCCAAGGAAAGACAGTGGAGTGAAATCTGAACACAGAAATCTGCCACATGAGCGAAGATAAAAAATTAGTCAAACGGTAAAGGAAGTAGGAGGACATCACATAGTAATTTTTAAAAGTAGGGTAGACATACAATGGTTTGGGCCAGGTTCACCGAACTTCTCCTTTTACACATAAAAACAGGTATGAAGAAAAGACAGTGAGCTTACCAAATCCTGAGAATTTTTCACTAACACCACACAGCTTGGAAATAACCTGAGAAACTAATGAATTGTATAGATAGCCCAGAGAAAAGTAAAATCCTTCCTGAACAGAAGAAGCCTGTGTTACAGAAGAATCTTTACAAAGGAAGGAAGAGGTACCAGAGCAGGCCATTTTCCACTATACTGATGGAACAAATAAAAGCCCAAAAGTAATACTCCATGGAATCTGGATATACACAAGAATAGGTACAGTGAGCCCATGGTCCACTGCAAGACACCAAACAATTGGAATTACTAATATAAAGAAAAGGCTTGAGATGATCACAGTGAATGCAGAGAAAAAGAGAGGGATTCAAATAATTATTAAACAGATAATACAGAAAGATAAAAGTGCCCCAATAATAAGAATAACCAGAGTCTCTAAAACAGCCTAACAAACAGAATACAAAATTCACAAATCTAAAATTTCCATGAACTAAAACAAGAATCAAAAAGTCCTTAGAGTGGCATGCTGTGGGTTCCAAATATGTTTTTAAAGAAGAATCAAAACAAATACTATGATTAAGTTCTTCTAAGAACAAAGACTCCTTCAGGCAGAAAAAAAAAACCAAAACAAGTCACATTTAAGTAAGGGAAAAAAACCTGTAACTTGACTTCTTTTTAGCCAAACTCAATGTCAAAAAATAGAGTAACATTTTAATAATGTTTAGAATAAAAAAATACTTAACTCAATAATTTTATTCATAAGCAATTTGAATATAAGAATAACACAAAGCCAGTCTGAAGCATGCTAAATCTGAGAATAAAGTATTTATGAGCCCTTCCTCAAAAAATGGAAAATGATATTCAGTTATCCAGGGATTTCCCAAAATAAAGAAATCAGGTATAAAAATGTCATGTATGAAAAAAGTTGCAGATAATGATTATTTAATCCTTTTAAAAATTAAAATTAAACAAGAGGGGGACATTTTGGCTATAGAATCTAATACAATTTTTACAAAGATTTTATAACTAGAATTTATAAAGAAAAAAAGGAGTTTAAAACTTACTCCATAGCTGAAAGTCAAATGATACTGTTTAACCGAAACACCACAAATTTCAAAAAACTGGAAAGAATTGATGATTCCAAAACTTTAATGTTTTTCAGGCTCTTTTCTTAAAATTTGAAGGATCTTTGGGGAATTAATATATCTTACTGTAGGAAGTAGACTTTGCATGAGGTTCAAAAATTTCTTTAGTTTCACTTCAATTGATTATTACTCCCAAATTCAAATAACACACAGCACCAGCTATGAACCAGGTACTTTTCAATATTTATTAAATCATTTAGTCCTCATAACCACTTATACAAAGTAGGCACTATTTACCCATGTTGTAAGCAAAAAACTGAGACCCAGAGACTCTCAGTAATTTGTCCATGGCTGTACAGCCAGGAAGCAACACAGTGAAGATTCAACCACAGATGTCCAGATCTGGATTCTGTGCTGTTAGCCTCTGCATTATATTGCCTCTTAAATAAAACAGTATGTAGAGAATTATTTGATTTTTATCAAATTAATTCTATGTATACATCCACTCAACCACCAACCATCAACAATCCATTCTTGTAGATAATAGTATTTAACTATATAAGCAAAGAAAATGTTTGGAATAATGTTTCTCTATTGATAAAGATAGTTATTTGGGAGTAGGCACTGGGGAATTCAGGTAAATTTTTTTTTTAATTTCTATTATTCAATGAGTTTAACACCTTATAATGAGTATCAGTCTTCAAAAAAAATGAAGCCATTAATCTAAACAAAAAACAAACCACATTACCTAATCACAACTTGAACACTGTCATGTTAATTATTTAATGACTTTTTGTCTCCCTAATGAACAATGTTTTAATTAGTATTTTACTGTAATCCCCCATGGAGCCTAGCACAATGTCGGGTAGAGCAAACACTCAATAAGTATATTGATGGATCATCATAAAATATTACATTACTACACTGTACCTATCTTACAAGTAGTAGATTTCTAGATGCTCTAGAGCCTTTACCTAAATCTGACTCCTTAGACTAGCATCATTTACATTATCAGGGAACTTGAAGAAAAACAGAATCTTTAGCTCCACTCCATACTTATTGAATGAGAATGAGCATTTTAAAAAGATTTCCCAAGTGATCACATTAAAATTGGAGAATTTCTAGAGCATTATTTATCTAAGCATGGTCCATTATTTACCTATATCAGAATCACCTAGGTTGCTTGTTAAAAATGTAGATTCTCAGGCTCTACCCTATTTCAAGTGTCATTATATTTTATGCTACACCTAATAAAAGTAAAAAGTACTGATGAATAGGAATGAGCATATTAAGCAGAGAGCAGTGAAAGAACCTACATAGTTTAAATAAATCAAGAAAGTGATACTAAAAGAGGGAAGAAAAGAGGCATCGCAAAGGAAGGTAGAGTAAGTATACCAACAGTAGGCTATCAAGAAGTAGAGAGAGTAATTGTACAGAGAGTGCTCTGTATTCCCCCTCACCCCCCCTTTTTTTGACTGTTATCCCTGACATGCCAACTACCACAGCATGACTGTGGGAATACGAAATTTACTGGTGAACCATATAACAATCAGTAACTTTTCTTAATATGTAATTACCACATAATGCATGCACTTTATAAATGCTCCAAAAGTCACATATAGTTTTAAATGTATACATACACTTTTAGAGACATTTCCATATGCTTGGCTCGTGCAATTGCTTCATCTCTCTCCTCATTGGCTAACCGCAGTCGAGACATAATAGCTTCATCACGTTCCTTCTGTGCAAAATACACTTCTTCAACCAGAGCTACCCAAAATATATAATCCATAATTAAGTAGAGAAAATTTAAAAATGCATACTTTTAGCAATAAGAAAAACAATTTTGTTATTTTACTAAATTAAATTAGTATCAATTAATCCTTGAAAAAACATTTTTAAAAGCTACTACAAAATTGAAATACATTTCATACCCATAAAAACACAAATTAAAAGGTCAAATAATTACAAATACTGTGAGCTTGTGAAATAAAGGAAACTCTCACATACACTGCAGATAGGTGTATATATTTCTACAGCCATTGAGTAAGTTGACAATATTTATTACAGTTAAAGATTTGCCTATAACCTGGCAAATCTCCTATTTAGTATGCAGCCTAGAGAAATTCTTGCACATGTGCACAAGGAAACATGTATAAAAAATGCTTACTGCAGCATTATATAACAGCAAAAACTTAGAAATAACCTAGCTGTCCAATAACAGGAGCAAGAATTAAAAAATTACTAAACATTCAAAATGGAATACAATACAACATTTAAAATGAATTAGCTGGACACATTTCAAGAATAAAATTACAGCAAAAATTGCAAGGTCCAAGGCAAAACAACTCTACCTATCATTTATGGACAAACACAATTAGTAAAAATATTAAAACAAGCATGGCAATGATAATCATCAACTTCAGGATAGTAGTTATGTCAGTAGCATAGTGGAAGAAAAAGAAAGAAAATGGGATCAAGGAAAAAGCAAACGGGCAGAGCTGAGCTCTTTAGCACTGCGCATCTCCAGAGAGCATCATTTACATAGATCGTAATACAAATGGTCTCATCTAGATTTGTGCAGCACTACATAGGGAGCTTTGATGTTATCTGAAATTATCATTTCTCAAGCATAATTTCTACCTGAAATCTTATACAACCTTTTTTTGTAGCTTCATGTTGTATTTTATTTATTTTTTTGAAGTTTTTTTTATTATGTTATGTTACTCACCATACATTTCATCGTTTTTGATGTAGTGTTCCATGATTAATTGTTTGCATAATAACACCCAGTGCTCCACGCAGAACGTGCCCTCTTTAATACCCATCACCAGGTTAACCCATCCCCCTCCCCCCTCCCCTCTAGAACCCTCAGTTTCCTTCTCAGAGTCCATAGTCTCTCATGGGTCAGCTCCCCCTCCAATTTGCCCCCCTTCATTTTTCCCTTCCTACTATCTTCTTCTTCTTCTTTTTTTTTTTTTACCATATAATGTATTATTTGTTTCAGAGGTACAGGTCTGTGATTCAACAGTCTTACACAATTCTTATATAACTTTTAAAATATCACTGCAATGTTAGACAAAAAAGAGCTCAAATACCTAGATCACTGAACCAAATTTTACTTACACTGTCAAACCACAAAATAAACTTAGGAAAGATGTTTGAAATGTTCTTTTAGTTCACAAAACATTGGGTTTTTGCTAACATTTGTCATAGATTAATGCATAGCTAACCAAGAGTTATTCTTGTATTATTTAAATTATAACTGGTAGAAAAGAAAAAAACCCCGAGAGTAAATCATCTATATCTTTTCCACAATAGAATATAAAGTGGAACATGTAACAGCAAAGCTAAAGTCAAAACCATTTTCAAGAAAGTGAGCCTAAGGGAAGAGAAATATATTCATTCATTTCTTCACTCATTCATTAATTTATTCTTTCATCAAATATTTATGAAATTTCTGTGGCAGTCACCCATCCAGTTTTAAGTAGTATGACCAGTGTTCTTAAAAGTCCTTACCTTCCTGGAGATGTATACATTCTATTACAGAGAGAAAGACAGCACAGAGAAAGCAGGGCCAGCCAAAATTAAACAGGCAGATAGTTAGATAGAAAGAAGTAAAGGTTTTGAAAGAAAATAAGGGTGTGTGAGAGAAAAAAAAAATGATTTGGAAGATGGGAAAAGAATAAACTAATTTAGGAAAGGTGGCCAGAAAAGGGCTTTTTAAATAAATGACATTTCAGCACGTGTAAATAAAGGAAGAGAAGCCATATTATACCTACATATTTGAAAGTAGACTAATAAGCAGAATAAAACGTAATACAAAGGCCCTAAAAGTGTTAGAGGAAAAGCTGTAAGGCCAATGTGTCTGAAGCACCGTGATAAAGGGTGAGAGCTCCAGGAGGTCACAATGGGCCTTGCGATCCATAGCAAGGATTTTAGGTATCATCTAACTATCGTGGTAGCCAATGGAGTGTCCTGAGCAAGGAAAAGACAGCATCACATTTATATGGTGGAAGTCTAAAAGGAATTCTGGTTTCTGAGTGAGAAACAGTCTGGAGGTGGGCATGCATAGAAGCAGAGACTAGTTAGGAGACTAGAGGAGTAATCTAAGCAAGAATTCACTTCAATAACCCAAATAAATGGCCCATTCCTTGAAAGTAAAGCTACACAGAAGTAAATATACATACATATGCCATCCTAGAGTTTAGATATTACATTAAAAGACTTCTAGAATAGAAACAATTTGATCAAGTCTGTGCTTTAGAAGGAAACACCCACAAGTTGGCATATAGAGTGTATGTGAAAGATGCGGGGGTCAGCAGAAAGTTGCAGGCTGGATGGTGTGTGCCCCCTGACCCAATCGTAGATTACTGTAACAGTTCAGGTAAGAAATAATGAAATCCTGAACCAAGGTAAGGACAATAAAATTAAAAAGAAAAAGAAAATGGATTCAATTCGTAACAAAAAGGGTAAAACAACAGAACCCAAGAGCGAAGCATGTACTGAATAAATTTTAGAGAAGAGGAAAACAGGACGGGTGACCTCACTAAGCATGTCTCAGTGTATCAGCAGGATGATCTTCTTAAAACCTTAGGACAAACAGGTTACTCCTCTTGCTACTGCTACATAGATTTCAAAGCAAAAAACAACAAAACAAAACAAAACAAAACAAAACAACGGTCTCAGCGTGGCATTCAAGGAAAACTAGAGTCCAGTTCTAGCTCACCTTCCCAGCATCACCTATCACCATGTTTCCTCCAGGACAATGTTACATAAAATACAGGTTGCAAAACACGGTTTTTTAACAGTTACGTATCACTTTAATGTAGATTACAAAAATGTGATGGGTATATTAGGTCTATAATGTCTCCTAGTGTCATTCAATTTAATGTCTAATTAAATTTTAAATTTCTGTTACCGAAACACTTTGTTGAGCCAGATGCCCATATGAACGTAACTTTCTATTACTTCATTTATCTGAAGTAAACAGATCACAAGGTCACAAAAAATGACCTAGTTATTAAACTTAGGATAATGATTACCTTTTGGAAGGAGTACTGAAAGGGAGGATGAGGGACATTTCTGAGATAATTGGTGATATTTGGTTTCTTGATCTGGGTGCTGGTTACATAGTTCGTTCACACTTTCTGAGATTCATAAAACTGCACAGTTATTGGTGTACTTTTATGTTTAGATGTTAAAACTAAATAAGAAACACTACATTAAAAAATACATTTATCTGGTTAAAAAGTTGAGCTGATTTAAAGAAAAATATTAAGAGTAGAAAAAAGTTAGCATGTGTGATAAAATTTCTGAAGGTACATGTTAAGATTAAATTTTAAGCAACAGAGACTTGTCCTTCTGGTCAAGATGGAGTAACAGGATTTGGATTTGTCCTTCCACTTAAATCAATTTTTTAAAAGATTTTATTTATTTGCCAGACAGAGAGAGAAAGTGTGCACAGAGAGAGAAAAGCAGACTCCACGCTGAGCAGGGAGCCCAATGCAGGGGGGGCTTGATCCCAGAACCCTGGGATCATGACCTGAGCCGAACGAAGGCAGACGCTGCTTAACCTACTGAGCCACCCAGGTGCCCCAAAACAATTTTTTAAAATGGACAAAATATATAGGATGACAGCTTTCAAGACAGTAAGGAAACAAACAAATGAGTTGAGCCCTATGATTAGCCCAGCTTAATACACAGAATTTCCAGAATATGGCACAGGAAGGGAAGAATCAAGGGGGAGCCCAGCTGATTCCACAATTTGGGAGGGCAGAGATAAAATCTGGAGAAACCAAAGCAGCCGGAATTCACAAGAGAGACTGTAAGAGAAAAAACAGCTGCAAAGAAAGAAAATTCTGGAGTTGTACAGAGGGTCTTCCTCAAAATGTCAGTTGAATACTGAGTGCACCTGTGAGTAAACTACTCCATACAGGGGAAAGAACCACCTGAAAGGATCAGAGGCAACAGTGCCCTGGGCTCCAGAAAACCAAAAATAATGCATGTTGTTCCCACCAGCCAGATCAGAAAACCTCAAGATTCATGAGGTACTGCATAAAGGCAAGACTGAGTCCTGCCCCAGCAGTGGGGATTAATCAACCCTAAACACTGCTCTGGTAACATCTAGCATATCTTTAAAACATGACCCAAAAGGAGAGACCTGTTTCCAAAAAACATAAGTACATCTGATTAGAAAGCTCAAAAATATTTTATAAGAATACAAAATAGCTTCCAAAATGGTAAAATTCATCATGGCATCCAACTGCCAGGCATGCAAACAAGCACCAAAATTAGGACCCATAATGACAAAAAAATTAATCAACTGAAACGGACTAATATTTTTGTCAACCAACTAATACATAACCCTGTTTTATGTGTGTTTCTGTTTAAAGACACTTGTTTAACATGTACTTTGATTTAATAACATTGAATCCATGGCCAAAGGCACTGTAACTCATGCCTGAACAAAACTTACCTAACACATATTTTCTCCGTAACTCACAACATAGCCTTCTGGTACTCAGGGAACACTAGATTGTATTTCAGCACTACACTTGGGGGCTGTTTGAAACAGTGAAATCACCAATAAAAGGCACAAAAATGAAGTAAATCTAACACTAAATAAGCCACAACTATAACACTTATTTACAGTATAAGAGTTGAAACAAGAAGGTGGTGTGGCCTTGAATGTGATATTTGTTTTTCTCTTAGTTTGCTATTTTAGTAATTTTTATTAATTTTTTTTAAAGATTTTATTTATTTATTTG